TTTTAAGATGCCTAGGATATTCAGATGGTCTGTCTCATGGGTAGTTAGAAATATAACTTAGAGGCTCCAGGGAGAGATCTGAGCTGGAGATAAAATTTTAGAAATCATCACAGTATATGTAACTTGCTGCGCAGGTTCTGAACTCAGATGTAGGGTTAAATCTTAACTCAGACATGGTTTTCTTGTTTGTGAAATATAATACATCCAACCCAGGATCTTCATATGAGTTTGATGAAAAATATATAGTTCTTAATATGTCTGAAATCAGTGACAGATTTATCATTAGCTAATATTAAATTACATTGCAGAATTACTTATGAAAAAACTCTACTATAAAAAGTAATTTTCTGTGGAATTCACTTAAATGCTTTATGAAATACATTAGAATGAAATACCGGTAAGGTATAGTTTGGTGCCCACTAAACAGCATGGAGCATCCATGCATCATGGTGTCACCTGGCCAGCAGGACTTAAGAGTACCTTTAGTACCATGAATGGAGTATACAGGGCCATTATCAGGGGGTTTCCAGTGGGCACTTTATCTCCAGGGCAGACACCCTGTTTTAGTCAATATTTAGCTGCTGTAACCAAAAGTCCCAACAAGAAAATTTTAGAGGACGAAAAGTTCATTTGAGGGCTCATGGTTTTAGAGGTCTCAGTCCATATTACATAGTGGATTCCATTGCTCTGGGATGGAGGAGAGAAAGACCATGATGGTGGAGGGTTTGGCAGAGAAAAGCAGCTGGGAATATTACACCAGGAAGCAGAGAGCAAGCTCTGCTCATCAGAGACAAAATATGGACCCCAAAGGCACACCCCCAATAACTCATCTCCTCCAGTCACATCCTACCTGCCTACTTGCTGCCCAGTTAATCTCTGTCAGGGGGTTAATGCACTGATTAGGTTAATACTGTCATAACCTCATCATTTCACCTCTGAACTTTTTTGTATTGTATCACACATGAGCTTTTGGATGACATGTCTAAACCAGAACACACCCAGTTATAATCTACTCTTTTTCTTCCTTAAAATAAGCATTTTGGGGAAAGTATTATCTTCTTTTTTCATCTTATTTGTACTTAGATATTAAATTCTACATAACTAAAAACATATTGACAGTTTAATATATGTTCTCCTAAATCAATTTGTATATGGCTCTTTCTAAATGCTCAGTCTCTACTGTGGGCTGTGCTTAGATTTGTACCTAATTATAGATTTACTTATGTATTGTAAAATGTCACTTTATAATCAAAGCTAGCAAGAGTATATAGATCCTGTAAGAACTATGATTGGTTCTCCTTGATGCTGGATTGTTACTCTGTTATAATAGGATCTGTTTAGAACAGATGGGAAACTAAGAATGGATCTAAAAGAAAGTAATGATGAGAAAAACAAGACCAGTGAGGAAAGTTAAAGAATCACCAAAGTTTATCTTCAGAAGGTCACTAAATTGACCCAATGTCAATCTAAAGAACATATTTGACTAGTATTTGTTTTGTTGTTCCTGAAGGCATACTGAACAAATCAGTTCTAATAAGTTATCATTCTTGAGGTAATTATATATTGTGATAAATTATATGCAAAGTTCATTACAATAGCTCCTTCCATTCCTGAATGTGTACTCCTTTGAATGTGACTTTGCTGCTTTTCTCATCAAGAGGGAGGAGTCTCTCTCTCCAGTTTCCGAATCTCTGGCTGTCTTTTTACCTCCTTTGACGAAGAGCATGGGGTGGACATGATGTCATGTAACTGCCAAGCTCAGAGCCTCAAGAGGTCTTGCAGCTTCCACTCTACTAGCTTGGCTTGCTGCCACATGAGGAAGCCCAGACTATTCTCCTTGAAGATGAAAGGCTACAAAGGGAGAGTTCCAGTCAACAGTCAACACCAGCTGCCAGCCATGACTGTACCCAGTCAAGCTACCAGATGACTCCAGCAGCTGCGTGACTCCAGACAAGGCTAGTCCAAATTACTGATCTAAGAATTGAGAGCACATTCAAAGGCTTTAAATCACTAATTATGGGTGGTTTGTTATGCAGCAATTACATATACACACACAGATATATATGCATGAGTGTGTACTGAGGATAGTGTTCTCTCACCTTGAGAATAAGAGACAATTACTTTTTAAACTTAAAGTAGACTTAGGGTTAATCATTAGGAACTAATTCCAGACTTTTAAGGATCAAAACGTAATGCTATAATAATGTGTTAATGTAGGTTACTGCAGTGAACAATGAACAAATAGGAAGGCAGATTTTTCTGGGATGGTTTGTACACCTTCTCAGAGGCAGGGTGATAAGTCTAGATGACGTCCTAAGGCCCCTTAAACTCTAGAATCCTGCGAAATTCAACTGAATTCTTATGACTGAGCAACCCAATTTCTACTTCTTGAGCTTGGCACATAGTATTTTAATATATATTGCCTTTCACTATTGGCAGGCTCCACTGGTTTATCTTTCACATACAATGTAATCCCAAACAGTCACTAATCATGGGTGATTTTTTTATGCAGCAATTATATACACACATATACATGTGTGTATACACACACAGATACATATATATGCATATGAAACAGGTATGGTTTAGTAAAAGTAACACAGTGAAGGAATACAGCATAAGTTAAGTTAGCAGGTTCCAAAGCCAAGATGCTCCGGTTCAAATGCTGGCTTAACAGCCTATCAGCCTTGATAAATTATCTAATCTCTTATATCAGTTTCCTCACTGTAGAATGGAAGGATAACAAAATGCATTGGATTTATAAAGTTAACTGAATTAAAACCAGAGCTTAAAACATATAAACTATTCAGTACACTTCAGATATTACTACTGTCGTTACAGTAGAGCACTAACTAGGTCCCAAACCCAGTTCTGTTACAACTTTCAGCACATCAATATATTCTCTGGGTCTGTTTTCTCAGCTTTAAAATGAGGGTTACTTGATAAGTTCCATGATTTATTTTCATCTTTTAAATTCTTTGAATCAGTGTTTAATAATTTGTTTCACCCACAGGCACATTTCAATCTTGTCTCTAATTTTTAAGAGATTGTCCGAAAGTTATGTTAGCAAGCAATTCTGAGGACTTCTAGTAATGACCACTTTGAACTTTAATGTTATGTATGACACAGCATATATTTACATTAGAAAAAAAACTCCAAATCCAGTCAGCAAACATTTATAACTCTTACATATCTGACATAAAGTCTTTTCAGGTTTATGGGAATATTCATTTTCCAAGTCCAAACTCCCATAAATTAGAAAATATTCATTTTCTAATCTGTAACAATATCCTTATGCAAAAGTAGGAAAAGATCTTCTGGAAATGATTATATGCCTCCAATTTTACCATTCAAATACCTCAAATATTAGTTTTGTTTCATTTCAGTTTTTATGGCATAGTGTCACTCATAATGTATATTTAGTTTTGTTCTTATGGTTGTGCTTTATTATTATTCTATACCATTTCACAGTACAGCCTAATTGACTTTTAACTTTTTTTTTTTTTGCTCAAGGTTTTTTTTTATGTTTAATTAGAAATTTTGCAAAGCATAGAAAAGCATAAAGAAAATAAGTCACATGTAATTCCACTGTTAAGGTGTCACATTTCAAAAAATACTCATTTTTATAGCTAAGCATATTCTATTCAACTATTAGACAAAATGTTATAATGGCTGCATAACACCATCACATAGAAATGACATAATTTATTGCAAATCACTTTATAATCTGTGACAGGTAATGGGTGATGCGTCTTGACCACGGCACAGATAAATATAGCATAAACACTACTTATGTGGCTGGTTAATGTGTATCTAGATTATTTTTCTACTCCTTTCTGGTACCCCCATAATCAAACTGCTACAATTCTGAAAGACACAAATGTTCCACCCGACATTTTTACAGCAGCAAATTCATCAATTTACAAGCTTTCTTTTGGATTTTGAAAACGTATTTTGGTCTTTTTTTCCTTTCTTTTTCTTCCCAGACACACAGAGCCTGTATACTAAACTTTACTTTTTCAGGCCCCTGAAAACTGGCAGCTTAAATTAGATAACTGCGAAGGTTTTAGTGATATTGGTAAGGGGGGTGATAAACTAGGCAGACGCTCTTTTTTCTCCTTAAAGTTACCCGTCAGTGGACACATATTTGCTCTAAGTTATCAAAGGCAAAAGTTTCGTTCTCAGAGTTGGGGAGGAGGCAGAGGGGCTTCCTTAGCTCCCCTGAAGCAGCCTTGGGTTTGCAGATTTGACAGACGATGGCGATCATCGGAGATTTTCCGAGCAGGATTTGGGCACCACTGAAGAGGAGGGAAAGTGAGTACTACCCACGTGACCCAACTTCACTTTGTGATTTTAACAACAGAGCGCTCCTGGAATAAATACCGACCTACTGCCGATAGACTGTTTCTCCCCTGATAACCTGAGGAAGATCCCCTCCCCTCCCAAGTTCCAGGACGCAGAGTTTCAAAACTGTTGGCTAGGGAAAAAAACGCAAAGTTCGATTTTTGCCATTTATAGACGCACGAATAGCCTTTTTGGATCACCACCATCCACAGCTCACATTATCTGCAACCCCTTTCCTAAAGTTTTCTTGTAGTGTTTTCCCAACCCTCTCGGGGTCGGTTCCTCTTAAAGAAGCTCGGCGAAAGCAACAGTTTGGCATAGCAACCCAAACCCCAGCGCGGCGCGAACTGCCACCGCGGGCCTCACACCTCCCGGTGCGCGCAAAGCGGGACTTCGGCTCTGGGTCCGCCGGCGGGATGATGCGTACGCGCGCGCGCGAGATGCCAGCCGGCCGGACATCCCGGCCGCTGCCCCAGCGCCACCCGCACGGCCTCCTCCCGGCAGCCCGGCCCGGGCGGGAGGCGTGACATCTCCCCACAGGCGGGGGCGCCGACCGGGCGCATGCGCGCGGCGCTGCCGGGCGTGCCGGCCACACTCCCCCCACCCACTCCGTGAGCTTGTCACTTCCTGCCCTCGCCCCATCTCCGTCCGGGGTCAGTTAGTCGCTCTCCGTCGCTGCCGGAGAGTCTCTGCTTCCCCCTCCAGCCCGCTCCGCGGCGGTAGTTCGGTCTCTCCGGGGAGGGGGAGACAGAGAAAAAGAGAGACCAACTTAATAAAGTTTCCTGAAACAACTGCTACCAGAAAGGCCCAAGGTGGGGGTAACCCCCATCCTTCCCCGCCCCTCTCCAAAAGCCTGAGGGACCGTTGCAGGTGGAGCGGCGCTGAAGGGAGCCGGGCTGCGGCGGCAGCCGTTTCCCCGGCAAGGGGCGCTTCGGATCTTGCCCACTCCGGTTCCGGCTCCTTTGATAGTGGCCGCGGCGCTGCTGCCGGGCGGTTCCTCCTGTCAACTGCCCGCGCCCGCGCGCCGCCAGTCCTTCGGCCCCACAACGCGGAGGGACGCCGTGAGCCGCCGCCGCCTCCTCGGCCAGCGGAGGGACGTGGTGAGCTGTGGCGCTTCCGCGTCAGCGCCGGCGGGGACTCTTTGGGAGCGCGTCGGCCCGAACCCCGCTTCCCCTCGGCGTGGTCCGCGGCGACTGCGCCAGGTGGGGCCCGCAGCCGCCTCCCCGCCAGGCTGTCCCCGCAGCCGCCCGGCCTCCCTACCTTCTTTCCGCCTGGCCGCCGGCCCGCCCTAGGAGTTAAGTAAGTTGGGCGCACTTGGTTTGGGCACCGGGGCTGCGCCAGGGAGACCCCCAATGCACGTGCGTGGCGGGAGGGGTCAGCGAGGACCGGCCTCCGGCGGGAGTCGTACCTCGGCAGCCTCGGAGCCCGGCAAGGTCCGCCGCGCCCCGCGCCACCCTTTCCGCGCGCGCCCGCCCGCCTAGGACTGCGAGGCCGCTGCCGCCCGCGCAGCCGGCCAGGCCTTCTCCTTGCGCCGCGCTGCGCGCGCGAGGCTGCGTTTCCGGGTAGGGTGATGAACCTGTGCCGATACTTCGGGCTGGAGACTGGTTCGTTTGTCGGTCCGCTTCCTTTTCGAGAAGAAGGTGTGGGTCATTGGAGGGCAAGCTGTGATGGGAACATATCTGGAAATGCAGTCAGAGCCCCCAGGAAGTTCAGAGTCAGTGACGGGTTTGTGTCTCTTTCTACAGCCCAGCCGCAATGAAGAGCTTCTTGCAGTGAAAGGAAAGTAGGTCGCACCCACTGAAAATGCCTTTGAGGGATAAATACTGTCAAACTGACCACCATCATCACGGATGCTGTGAACCAGGTATGTCCCTTTTTTCCCCCCAATGACTTTGCCCTCCATCAGAGTCATTTTGCCTTTTGGTTCCTTCTGGTTTTCTTTGCCTATTGCCCAAGAAATCATTCTTAAGTAAAATAGGCTATAATTTTCCCCAGCAAATAAAACAGTTATGAAGCTAAAAGCTTGTACAAACAAGAGGTCACCCCTGCTTGATCTCTTAAAGAAAGTACTGCAAGTGTCACCTTCAATCATTTCCACAAGATCAATCACTCAGTTCTTTTTCTGCTCTTTGAAGGCAGTCTGCAGTCAGCAGCGTACCCTTATGCTCTGAGTGTTTAAAACTGAAGAGATAGGAAAAGATAGTAGTAGAATACTAGCATGTATCTCTGTGAAAATTGTTTCATTTAAACTTAAATGCATTCTCATGCATTTTGATTAAAGAATAGTCAAAAAATGAGTGTAGTTGGGTTAAAGATGGTTGAACTTGCTGAGAGAATCAGGTTTTGTTAGGACAAAACTATTAGTTTAATTTATGAAATGAAAGGTTTTTGGAGTCTTGTGAAGATTTAACAAACTTTAATTCGATAGATGTGGTATAAAAACCATTGTCAGTTCTTCTAGTTAGAACTTTGATGTGCTTTGTGACATTTAGAGGTGCAGCTTAAAAGGAAATCAAGTATATACTGTCACTAAACCAAATAAAGATGACTCTCTTCTAGTTCAAAGGCAGGTGTTATCATTTTGAACTTAGAAGTTACTAGATTTTTTTTTAAACTTTTGTTTGCTTTTTTTATTGGAGTGATTGCACTTATGTACTGAGTGTCATCACAATAAATTCATTTTTAACTAATTTCCTGATGGGGAAAAACAGCAATGCTAAAGGGAAAGAGCTTCCATTTCCAAGAAATTGACTACACATGAGAATAAAATTTGTACTATGGCCTTATGTCTACTTCACTTTGTTGAGATCAGTAATAATTCACCTGTTAGAATAAAGTAGTCAATCCTATGATGTGATCAACTGTCCCTGACCTAACTTTCCATACCCTTTCACACTGCATGTTTTTTGTATTTGAGGCTACATTGCTTATGTTTTATGGAGTTGAATGGTGTTTGCTAGTTTTAAAGTTTAGAATGTGAATGCCTTTTATACTATATTCCACTGACCTTGTATTCTGGTTTGTTTCTGAGAACACTTCAATTCATTTGAGTTAAATTAATGAAATTATCTTATTTAGGAAGAAGTGTTTGCATGTTCAGTAGACCTTTATTTTTATTTAACTACCTTAATTAAATAAAGAATCTGAGAATCAAACCCAGTGCCTCACACATGATAGGCAAGTACTCTATCACTGAGCTATACCCCAGCCCGGTGTTTGCTCATTTATTTTTTTAACCAGTTATTGTTGAACACCTATTAAGTGTCAGGTGCTTTCCAGTGCAATGAGGGTATAAATGGTGAATAAGATATAAGGTCTTTCCTTCATAAATTTTTTTTTTCTAGTACTGGGATTGAAGCCAGGCCCTTGCATGCCAGAACTCTATCACTGAATCATATCCCAGACCTTTTTATTTTATTTTGAGACAGGATCTCAGTATGTTTTTTGCCCAGACTGGCTCGAACTTGTGATTGTCCTGCCTCAGCCTCCTGAGAGCTGGGATTATGGGCATATGCCACTGCTGGGCTCCTCATAGAACTTTTGCGTCGAAAAAGATGGATGTAAATAAGATAATTTGTTAACATGCCTTTAATATATTCTAGTAATTGATGTTTACTAGAGAATTTTAATTATAAAAATGTTTTTTAATGGTTTTTAAACATAAAAAATGTTTTCTGAAATAGAACTTTTTTAATGTATACTGAAGTATTTTTGCTTTTTTGTCTTCTGTTGACAGGAAATTAGAAAAATTGTACTACTTTAAAATTTTATTTTTCTTCTCCCAGAAACTTTTCCGTGTAGGTTAATACTCAGACTTATGAGATTAAAAGTAGTTATTATTTCTTTGCTTTCTTAGCTAGAATCAAATACTTTTTGAGGATTTAGTTCAATGGAAAGCTAGAAGTTTGTTTACTTAACAGAGTAGTTCATTATTATTTTTTTTCAGGGGAAAGTGTTTGCTAAATGGGAGGATGTTTCCAGGATTGAAAGAAATTTGTTATGGTGTGATAATGTTTAAAGGGATGTCCTCAGTTGGAGGAAAGTAGATGACATGATGTTTGAGAAATTCTTTAATTGGCTCTCTTGAGCAGTCTGTCCTCATTTGGATTATGAGTACTGGGTGACTCCTCAGATGAGAGCAATATTCCTGTGATCATTGTGCCTTGATGGGATGGGTCAATTTATAGTGAAGAGTGAGTGGTATTATAAGCCTGTCAGTGTATGTGAAATATTTTCTTAGTTATGTTTTAAGAATTTTTAAAAATAGAAATCTAAAAACTTCAAAATAGAATATTTTAAGGAATCTGATGTAATAATTAACACAACTCCATCAATTATCAATATCCAGACAATCTCTTTTCTTCTATATTCACAATGCCTTTCTCTACCTTCCAACTACTTCCCCAAACCCTATTATTTGTAAGCAAATCCCAGACATCATAATTAGAATGATCTTTAAGGAACATTTTAATATAGAAGGCAAAAATGGATGTTATATTCTGGGGAGTTTGTTCTTGGCAAGCTGTCTGAAAAGATGGCTCTGAGAGTTTGGTTTTTTGGTTGGAGGCAGTTTTTTTTTTTTTTTTTTTTCTTTTGTTTAAATGGTCATAACGTGGATGGGCCTGATCATGGGAAGAATGATAGGACATTTAAGAGGAGATTTATAGAGTATTAATCTATAAAGTTTTCTGGAGTTGAGAGTGTTTTTTTCAAATGAAGAAAGAATTGTTCTTTATAGTGGGAGCTCTACAGATATGGATACATTCAGGCAGAGCTAGGTTAACCCTAGCTTACTTTTAAATGTTGTCTCAGGATGAATATGTGTTCTAGTGGTATCAGTGACCTGAGGGAGATGGGTAGGAAACTTTGTTCTAGCTTTAAAATTAGGTATTGTCATGTGGAACTGGGAGTTGGTGTATTATAGGTGATTTTCTGGAGCATGTACCTGAATGAGGAAAGGGGGCTGCAGGGTGAAGTCTCTTGTCATCACCACTCCCCCTCCAATGTCCCTACCTTATTTATTTTTTCATTCTCTAATACTAGATTTCTTGAATCCTATAAAGCAGACCTTGAACTGATTTTTTTTTTTTTTTTTTTTACATTGGAAGGGGTTTCACCCTTTCTTTTGTAGTTAATTATTCTATTTTATAAACAGTTATAAATTGCTATGATGAACAGACACTGAAAAGAGAACCACTGAATTCAAATAAACCGTATTATCAATCTGCTAATAGACTGTCTAAGAGATTGATTTCTACTTGGATTTTGTAAAAAGACTTTTCAGTTTTTGGTGTCAGGCAAGCTGTTGATTTGTACATCATGAAGATAATAGAATGTTTATTGAGCACTTACTATAATCCAGCCTCTGTTTTAAGCAGTTTTCTTGCACTAGCTTATTTAATTTTGACACATCCTATGATTTAGATGCTTTTATTGTCCCCATTTTAGAGAAGTGAAAGAATTCAGAGAGTTTATTTGTTCCAGTTATATCTAATAAATAGAATGAAAATGAAAATGCAGGCAGTCCAGATGTGTAGTATTAGGTTCTTTATCATTGCAGTTTTGCCAATGTCATATGTTCTCAAAATGAGTTACGTGTGTATATATTTTTAATTCACTTAAAACACTCCTAAAGTTTCTCTTAAAATTGGGAAAATTTTGCTTAATGAAATGATTTGGTCCTGCAACCATAGTTCCTCTGTCTGTGTACACTGAGCACTTGATTTGATGCATCTAAGGCTGCTTCTATATGCATAGCACAGCAGGCATCAGTCCCTTTGTCAAAAGCTAATTGCTTATCCAAGCCAAAGCCCTGAAGCAGTGGCAGCATAAATTATTGAAGTTATCCTTTTTATTTCCCCATACCAAGCAATGATCTTGGGTTATGGTGGTAATACTTGAGTAGAACACTTTACCATGTTTTAAAAAGAGATAATTAAAATGGTTCACCTTTCTCTACCACAGCCTCTCTCTTTGTTTGATAACTGATGGAAAAAGTCAGTTTTCCTTTTCAGCTACCTTGATTGATATTACCATGAGTAATTATATATTTATACTACTAATCCAAGAATCTTAGAAAGTACAGGTAATATATAAAAATGAGAATTTTTATCTTAAAATGGAAAAATTATATAAAAATTTTGTTGCTTCTAAAATGTACACTTCTAAAAGCTCAGGCTCTGAAGTAATAGTGATGTGTGAGACAGAAAGGGAACATCATTCCTATAAGCCAACACTGACAGGAGTTTTGCTAAATTTTGTTGGTATCTCTTCAAGACTGTTTTTATATTAGCTTCTATATACACATAAATATATATTGAACTTATGTTTTTCTGTATATTTAAATGTTTTAATGTAAGTGGGGTCATAGTCTATGTCATTTTTGTTGCTTAATAATTATTGACGTCCTTTGATGTCAGTACATGTAGATTAAGCTCATGCTTTCAATAGTTGTGAGAGATTCTGTTATATGAATGTTTCATAGTTTCATCTGGTGCCTACTGAGAGACTTTTTAAAAAGTTGCTTGAAATTTCTCTTTATTTTATACAGTGTTGTAGAGTACTTCAGGTGAAAACTTTCTTGTAAATCCATCATTGTGCACTTGTTCGGTTACTTCTTAGTAGGTTTTTAGTTTTGCTCTTATAATTGTCCAGAGAGATATACCAGATTATCCAAAGACTTTTGGAATGGCTAATTGGGTGTAGCTAGCCTTATAATTTTTACTAAACGTAGTGACTCTTCTTTAATGGGAATAAAAAGGCAAATGTATAGCATGTGTACAAAATGATTCTGTAATTTAAACCTAATGTCTAGCCTTTTGTAGCCTTAATTTAGCCTTTGAGAATTATTTGCTTTTTCTGTTCATTGTTTCATTTTGCCTTACAAAGATGGTGGTGAATTATATACCTGTGTGTGTGTATATATAAAAATATATGCAAATGTGATTTTCATTAACATAATTGTAGCAAAACCATTGTTTTACTTCAATAGTAAATCACTTAAATAACCCTTTTTTTGTGGGGGTTGGGGTGGGTGTTTGTCTTCCATGTAGTTTATATCCTGGAACCTGGAGATCCTCCTTTGTTACAGCAACCACTACAGACATCCAAATCTGGTATTCAGCAAATAATTGAATGCTTTCGATCAGGTATGAATGTTTTAGGATGTATTTTTCAGTCTTTACACAGTAGTTAAAAACTATCTAGAAATCTTAGACATAATTTAAAAAAATTAAGATACATATATATATATATATATATATTAGTTTTTTAATAGAATTTTTAAATGTTAAAACAAATGAATAAATATTGACTTGATATAGAAAATCTTTTTCAATACTACATACTATATATTAATTTTCAAATAGATTTGTTTAAAGAAATGTATTATGTGGCGTCTTTGCTGGTAAAATGCTTCCTTTTAAAAATCCATTGTTATCTTTTGTCATATTTATAAATTTGCAAAAGGCATTAAATTTTTTTGGGTCTTCAAAAGCTTTGGTATAGTAGATTACTCTGAATGTCTGAGATATCAATTTATTCTAGATTAATTACCTTATCATCTCTATTTATGTGACTCACCTCCTACCAAATTCTGGAGTTTCTGTATTTTCAATATCTTTAATAGAGCACAGGATAGGGGAAAAAAAGACATTCCAGTTTCTATTAGATTATTATAAGAACTGGCTGTAAAATAAAGATATTTTTACAGTTGCAATTCAATGCTTTAGAATAGATGTTACTACATATAAATGATTGAGAATTATTAGCACCCTTGTGCTGTCAGTAATGTCCTAGGTTGTTGTGATTCTTATAATCCCCTTGTCAACGTTTTTATAAATTTGGTTTCTCTGACATTACAGACTGTTCAGTCAAACAAGAATAAGCAAATAGACACAACTGATGGGCAACTAACTAGTGGACACTTAAAGGTTTAGAATATCTTGTCATCATTTTATTTATTTATTTTTCTTGTCATCATTTTAAAGCTTACTATCTTCCTAAAATAATTCTGAAATTGAAAGTAACAGATAATTTATGTGTAACTATTGATGAGAATTTTTTTGAGGTGCTTGTTTTTATAATGTAAAGGAGAACCGCATATATTTGTTTTACTTGAGAATTCTAAGAAATAGGTTATCCCTTAATCAAATGAAATTGTTTTCTTTGACTTTCTAAGACACATTTCTTTTTCATCTATAGTTCTTATGATTTTTGCCTTTTTGCATTCTGTATCCACAAATTTTTGCTGAATTAAATGTTAGATGGTGTTAACCTCTTTCAAATTTTTTTTAACTTTTGACTATTGTCCTTGGTTATCAAATAAATTACAAGTCATATTCTGCTATAATAAATACAGTATGTTTAATAAATAAATTTTTGTACGATATTTATATCTGGCATAACAGAATAATGATTTATTTTTGCTAATTTTAAACAAATATAAAAGTTCTTTTTGTTCTTTCTCATACCATGGAAATGAGGTTAATAACTTTTCCTATTTAGTAATATTTCTTGCCAAAGGTTTTTTCTTTTGGAATATTTATTATTAAAGGTTATTTTATACTGCTTTAGCTTATTGTAGTGTTATTTGAGAAGTTCGACTAGATTAACTCATAAATGCTTTATCTTGTTTAAAAAAGCCTTTTCAACCATATTCTGTACTCAATCCATGTGTTTTTAATCTTAGAAGATAAATATTTAAAGGTGAAATTGTTTTTTCATTGTACTCTGGTTATACCTATTTTCTTTTTGCCAACACTTTACTATGCAAGCTAAAGATCAGGGGCTAAAATGGTGTCATTCCAAAGCCATTTGAGCAAAGAGGAACTGGGGGATAGAATAGTGAAGAATGTTTATCTTTTGAAATGTGTTCTTTAAAAAAAGAAATGTCCCCTGCAAATTTTCCTTTTGTTTTTTATGTAGGCAAATTCTGAAAATATTATAATTTTAAATCTATAAATAACCAATAGTTTAATTTATAGGCAATGCTTAAAGATAAAGGTAGAAATGCACTGAATGGCACAGAGAAACTAATTTGGGATTTAAAAAGGATTATTTCTTTATTGTGTCCCATAACTAACAAAGTTTAATTTCCTCAAGGTAGTAAACTCTTGCATATCTGGATAACCTAAATTCTATTAAAGTACCTCTTATTTAGTACGAAGATATTTAAGTCAAGGCTGACTAAAACCTTAAAGTTTGGGCCACATGACTTAGGGACTAAAATCCCTCCCAATCTTAGGAGTGTCAGTTCCTCCCTGTCCCAATCTACTTCCAAGCACATCCTCAGTGACCCATCTCTTTCTAGGCTCTTTCCATTATAACTAGGTTATACACATTGCATTTAAACAACTTTTCTGGTGTTGCTATATATCTTATGCAGATATTTGAAGATAGAACTTGCAAGTCCATGTTTTTGTTCTTGTTAACCTTCAGAGGCCAAGTCAGGTTGGGCAGTAATAATGTATTAGGATAGCTACCTTTATCTTTAAGCTCATTCAGTTATCTTTGAGTGTCTCAACTTCTGCTTACACTGGGCTGTCCATAAGCTGGTATTAATTCCTACTTAAGCTAGAAGTTCATAAAAGGTTTCTATCTGGGGAGGGTGTTGACTCATTTTTAAGGTCCACCAAGCCCATATGTATTATACCATTTGACCGGTCTTAACCTTTTCTCTTTGCCTTAGTCTTCAGCTTTTGTTTTTGACTCTTTCCCTGGCTTTAAATTACAAATTCTTCTTCATCTCTGATATAATTTTATTTGATTTGTAAATTAAATAGATTTTTCTTTTGGAATAAGTATTATGTGCCTATAGGTGGGGGGAAAAAGGATATAGAGCAAAAAGTAAGTTTCTTCACTATTCTATCCCCCAGTTCCTCTTTGCTCAAGCAACTACTGCTACATGGTTTATGTGTCTTCTGCCAGGGACCTTTTATACACATACAAGCACACATCCCTCATTTTCTTCCCAGTACAAATGGTAGCAGACTGCACACTCTTGTGTACCTTTGCTTTATTGACAGTAGATGTAGCCGTTTTTTGACATTAGTCCAGAAATAGATGCCTCATATTTTTAAAAGGTGGCCTATTTTGTCATTACAGATTCTGTACAACTGAAATCCCTGATGGTTGTCTGACTTGAAATGTGTTGTTTGCTTTAACTCTTTGTTTTATGGACTTTTGCCTTAGTTTTTCTAGGATCACATCTGTGATTTGGTGTCTTGAAGTTTCTGCCCTTTCTGTAAATACTTTTAGTTTATTTTTCTTACTCTTTGACTTCTCTCAAAACGGAAAACAAAAATTTAAGTAACAAATAAAAGGTTACTTTTAGATACTTACTTATATCTTTTAGGTATTTATTAAATTGTTATAAGTAAATTTAGTATTCTTAATTTCTTAGTTATTTGATAGAGGTGAAAGAGTAATGGGATATCTTAAGATTAGAGGTAGAAAAATGGGAAGAAAAGAAAGGGACTCATTTTGGTCTTTAATATGAAGTTGACATCTTCTATTTAAATTCTTGAGATATTTAATATTGAAAAATAGTATAGAACATTATAGAAAAAAGATTATACAGTATTATAGAATATACTAGACTACAATGTGCAGTGAACTCCCTCCTGGAACTCTCCTTTTTTGATACTTAGGAATAAATGGTAACTTTCATAGTATGGTAGTGAAAAGTAAGAATTAACTTTGTGTGATACTTGCTGGTGCCACTGTTGTTGTCTAAGTGTCATGTCTGTTATTTAGATATTTAGTGTGAAGAGAGAAGTTTTCCTAGGTTTAGTCATTTAACTTCTTTGAAGTGTTTTATTTTTATTTTTATTCTTCTGCTTAAAGCCATTTTAATTGCACTTAGTTTAAGCTATGACTGAATAATAATGCCTCAGTCCTGACTCTACAGAAAAACTTAGGATGGAAATATGGTTTAGGAGAGATGCATAGGAGAGTGCCATGTTCTATAACATGAGTTTTGACTGTTACATAGCAATTGTAATAAATTTAAAATGGGACTAGATATTTTTCTGGTTTAGTAAGAAAAAAAATATAGATTATTGTTCTGATAGTCATCTTCAGAGCATGACTTTTGGGTCTTTGTTTCTAGGAAAGCAGCCGTTTGTATTAGTCTGTGAATTTCTCAGGGACAGACCATCTTCATGTTGATATTTCTGGTGAATATCATTGTATCTGGTATACTTATATATACCTATATACATATATTTATTATATAAATGTTTGTTAGATTAAACTATAAGATTGATCAAGTAGATACTGTCCTAAAATAATTTGTATTCTACTATAAATTTATTGTGTTATGGAAGTGGTATCTTCTAAGATAATCTTAAAACCTAAGGCAAGAAAGAGAATAGTATGGGGAAAAGAAATAATTTGGAGGAATGCAGCTTGGCTGTTTATGTTCTAGGATCAAGAGACATGGAAAAATTTTTTGTTGCTGTCTATATGACTATGTCTGTTGTTATTGCAGGTGTCAGGGAGTTTTGGCTATTGTCAGAGGTATAGTTGGTTGGCTATGAGTAATTGTGAGAAAAGCAATCAGAAAATGGTAACTGATTGTGACTAAAGTCATTATTCCTACCTTGGAATAGCATAACACTTTAATGGTGATTGAAACTAACTTAGGAAAAAAATTTATTGTCCATATTAAGGGAATAAGACACATCTTATTTTTCACATTTGTAAAATGTGTAAGATATCATCTTTAAGCCCCCACCCTTTGATACCTCAATGAATTTCACAGATTTAAAAAAGAAGGTATTCCTAAACAGAGTTCTCCATTGTCACTTGACAATGCCAATCAGACATTATTATCCTGAGGACTGGGAATACAGTGGTGAGGATCAAAGTTGCCTTTTGTGTTCTTCTAGAACTTCTAATTTAATGGGAATACCTAAAAGTGATTAATTACAAGATGGTGGGATAAGTTTATATAGATATATAAGTTGCTATAGGAGTACAGATGAATGAATTATTAACAAAAACAGGGGTCAGAGAAGACTTCCTGAAGGAAATAACATTTGACCTGGGATCCAAAGGATTACTGGAAATGAACCAGACTAGAGAAGTAGGAGAATGTTAGGTTGGAGAGAGAAAAAATGTAGGTGAAGGCCTGAAAAGCGAGGGAGAAAAAGAACATTTGGTGTATCTATGAACCTGAAAGAAATTTGATATGCCTATGTCAGCAGTATCTCTGTGTGCGCATGAGCGTGTGTGTGTGTGTGTGTGTGTGTGTGTGTATTGGGGGGAGCCTTTGTAATTGATAATTAAGATTGATGTGTAAAATTAGAGGCAGATACTTTTTTGCTGTTTATTGGGAATAAATACATATTCTCTACTGATATATCTACTAGGACTAATTAAGAAATTGATAATGTTTTTATTTTTCTGTGATTGAGAGAACCTGGCAGACTAAGTGATATGTCTGATTTAGGGATAATCTTACATTTTTACACCTGTGTATGTATAACCTAATGTTGTTTACAAACTGATTATTTTATGGTTTTAAATCTGTTACTATGTACTTTCCAGTTAAATCTTCTATTGAATTAAGTTAAAATCTAGTTAATGTTATTTCTGTGTTCCTCTTCAGTCTTTTTTTTTTTTTTGACCATCTATGGTATGGCTCTTGCAGGTCTTTTAATTTAGAATTAGTATACAGAATTTTTCTTTTTTTCTTCCAGTGGAACTTAGCTACTTTTTTTTTTTTTTTTTAATAACTACATGTAGAACAATTAGAGAGGCTTAGGCTCAGAGAGTCAAGGCATTTTTATCCTTGTCCACTTCTCATAGTTTATTAATCACTTGTGGGGTTAACTAGTAAAAAAACTAAACATTAACTCTTATTGTGAAATGGACAAGAGAATATAAACATGAGAATTTACTTTCATATAAATAATGTGCACACTTTTCTCTTAATCTTTAAAATTTGTTTTCAAGTTTTGTGCTGATAGAGTCTAGTGAAATAGTAATAGATTTGGATTTGGGAAATGGTGGAAATTATTTTTTTTTCCAGTAGAAACTCATGTATGTAATTTAATTGCTTAAGTTTGTATTATTTTTTTAATTCTTCAAGATAGGTTTGGTTTCATTTGTTCTATTTTACAAGATGGGTAAACAAAGTGCAAAAATTATATTTTTAAGGTCTTATAACTAGATAATATCAGATTTGGAATGTCTTAAGACTTAGTAATGTTCTGATAACTTCATAATCAATCTTCTTTGCCATAGAATTTTGAGGGCTGATCATCATTTTCAAAATGATTATAAAATACATTTTAAAAATTAAATGTGAATAGGTTACAAAAGATTAAATCAGAAATATTTAACTTTTATAGACCCTATAATATTAATAATACTAAGATAGTTTATATTCTTCAGTAGTCCTAGAACTTAATAGATAGTCAAATTCTTGTTCAATGACAGAACACCTTGCACCTAGATGGGTCTTAACGGTATTTTTCAGTGAGCTTTGTAAATATTGAGTGATAAAATGAAATCAGTATTACCATTATTTTCTCTATTTAATGAAACTGAAGGCACATTTATTTAGTAGAGGACTGGAAAACAGTTTTGACTGGAGATCATTTTTTGTCATCTTACCTGCAGCAAAGACTTGTAAGAAGTAGCAACAAAAGGTTACTTCATTTGTGTTTTATTCCTAGAGGATATTTTTATTTTAAAGACTGGATGTGGTCATGCACAGTAGCGCATGCCTATAATCCCAGTAGCGTGGGAGGCCGAATAATAATCCCTGAAATCTCTCACCCCCCCCAAAAAGATTGGATGCTCATTACCATGTTTTTTTTTCCCTTATGCCTTTGATCTTCCATCATAATGCTTAGCTATCACAGATCAGTAGCATTTCTTCAACAAATACGTATTGAGTATTATTAGAAATGAATACGTTGTAGTTATAAATATGATAGACTAGCTCTTGGCTGTTTTCAGGGTTTATAATTAAGTGTAAAAGACAGACGTTGAACTGGTAATTATATTGATAATTAGTTAATTACAATTGGGGTTAGAGTTCTGAGAGAGAAAATCTTTGAATAGAGTTAAGTACTATCAAGAGAACTAAGCACAAATTGAAAATTCTATTTCAGTATGGACAGAGATTCTGTACTGTCACACTAAATAGCCATAATCCCATGTTGGTCTAGAGCCTGAAATAATGTAAACTGAATTTTAAAAGAAAAGTTTTCAGGCAGCCCTGAAATGAAGTTTTGACCTTCTTTAGGGAACTGGGAATTGGAAAACTCCTTGTTCACTTTCTAGTTCCGAAAAGGCTGAAAGAACCAGCAAAAAAGTTTAGCAGGAAGTGATGGGGAACATTTTCCTGCCCTACTCCAGACCTGTATAATCAGAATATCTAGGGAAGGGTTGCATGCGTTTTTTTCCGCAGCTCATTATAATGATCAACCAGATGTCAGGACGATAGTCTTGGGATATCCCAAGAATTGATTGACTGCTGAAGTAGAAAAAGAGTATCCATCTTAGCTGTCCAGATTTCCAAACGATACTAGGATTTTGCTTATTTTTATTTTTTTTTTTTTAATTTTTATTGTGGGTTGTTCAAAACATTACAAATTTCTTGACATATCATATTCCACACTTTGATTCAAGTGGGTTATGAACTCCCACCTTCACCCCATACACAGATTGCAGAATCACATCAGTTACACATCCATTGATTTACAAATTGCCATACTAGTGTCTGTTGTGCTCCGCTGCCTTTCCCATCCTCCACCCTCCCCCCTCCCCACCTCTCCCCTCCCCTCCCCTCCTCTCTCTCTAGGATTTTGCTTAAAACTTAGTTTTATAACTTATTTATAAATATGCTGTGGTAGCAGTTAAAAGTGCCAATATTTTGTTTTCAAGGAGTAACTATACTTTGGGATTGTCAACAGTGGTGGCCTAGTTTAAAAGTACATGTAAAGTGAACTTTTGTGTTAAATTTTCCCTTTTTTCTCCCCCTAGGAACTAAACAACTTAAGCATATTTTATTAAAAGATGTGGACACTATTTTTGAATGTAAATTATGCCGCAGTCTCTTCAGAGGATTACCAAATTTAATTACCCATAAGAAATTCTACTGCCCACCAAGTCTCCAGATGGATGATAGTAAGTTTTATTCATATATTCAGTTATGCATTTTGCAGTTGTATTTTTAGACTGCCACTATACTTTTGTATTAAAATGGTATTGATATTTAATTATAGATGATTTAATGATGGAGAATAAAATTGAATCTATGACTCAATGTTATATTTGATTTCTCAGATAAATACTTTGATATCAATGCTTTCCACTTGGGTTTTTCTAGATATCATAGAAGTTAGATTTATGAGTATACTTATTTGTATTAAAATATTGGATATTTTGAATGGCTTTATAGTTTTATATTCAGAATATTTATAAGTTGATATTAAGATGTTAGGATATTTATGTTAGGATTGAAAGGAAAAATTTATTGGTGTTTTTTTTCTTTTTACTTTAACACTTGTTACCATATTGGATGATCACTTAGTTACAGATTCCTGTTAAGTGAATGAGAACATTGGAAATAAAGAGCAATATTTTTTAGTTGTTGATGGACCTTTTTTTAATTATATGTGGTGTTGAGAATTAAACTCAGTGCCTCACACATGCTAGGCAAGTGCTCTACCACTGAGCTACAACCCTAGCCTTTGTTGTGTTATTTTATCCATCCTGGGTCATGAGAACTTTGTCTTTGCTAGTCTAAAACTTTCAGACTAAAATATGTGATACTATTTTTATTTTTTAGATTATCCATATATTTATATATTTTATAATAAGGGCACTTAGAAGCAGAAATAACACCTCAGATTACATTTATCTTTAACATTGTACACCATGATGAAAATTAAAATTAAGAAAATTTTAGTTTAGCTAATACTAGTTTTTTTATCCATAAAATACTGAAAAATAGGTAATGCTCTTAAAAAGTAAATTTGAGCAATAAAGTAAATTTTAAGGTAGAGTTTTATAATATATTTTAAAATATTAGAGCAGGCCAATTATTTCAGATTAAAATGTTGATTTTTCCTTAACAGACCTTCCTGATGTAAATGATAAACAAAGCCAAGCCATAAATGATCTCCTAGAAGCCATATATCCAAGCGTGGACAAGCGAGAATATATTATTAAGCTAGAACCCATAGAAACAAATCAGAATGCAGTGTTTCAATATATTTCAAGAACTGATAATCCTGCTGAAGTCACAGAGTCAAGCAGTACTCCTGAACAAACTGAAGTTCAAATACAGGAAGCTAGCACTGAGCAATCTAAAACAGTACCAGTTACTGACACAGAGGAGGAAACTGTAGAGACCCCTCCTGTTGAGATTGTTGCAGATGAAGTTGTACCTACATCTGATGAACAACCCCAGGAATCACAGGCTGACTTGGAAACTTCTGACAATTCTGATTTTGGTCACCAGTTGATATGTTGTCTTTGTAGAAAAGAATTCAATTCTAGACGAGGTGTTCGCCGCCACATTCGAAAAGTGCACAAGAAAAAGATGGAAGAATTGAAAAAGTACATTGAAACACGAAAGAATCCAAACCAATCCTCTAAAGGACGCAGTAAGAATGTTCTAGTTTCATTAAGTAGGAGTTGTCCAGTATGTTGTAAATCATTTGCTACAAAAGCGAATGTAAGGAGGCATTTTGATGAAGTTCATAGAGGACTAAGGAGGGATTCAATTACTCCAGATATAGCAACAAAGCCCGGGCAACCTTTGTTCTTGGATTCTGTTTCTCCTAAAAAATCTTTTAAGACTCGAAAACAAAAGTCGTCTTCAAAGGCTGAATACAATTTAACTGCATGCAAATGCCTCCTTTGCAAGAGGAAATATAGTTCACAAATAATGCTTAAAAGACATATGCAAATTGTCCACAAGATAACTCTTTCGGGAACAAACTCTAAAAGAGAGAAAGGCCCTAATAATACTGCCAACAGTTCAGAAATAAAAGTTAAAGTTGAACCAGCAGATTCTGTAGAATCTTCACCCCCTTCCATTACCCATTCTCCGCAGAATGAATTAAAGGGAACAAATCATTCAAATGAAAAAAAGAACACACCGGCAGCACAGAAAAATAAAGTTAAACAAGATGCTGAAAGCCCTAAATCAGCTAGTCCCTCGGCTGCAGGTGGCCAGCAAAAAACTAGGAAACCAAAACTTTCAGCTGGCTTTGACTTTAAGCAGCTTTACTGTAAACTTTGTAAACGTCAGTTTACTTCCAAACAGAACTTGACTAAACACATCGAGTTGCACACAGATGGAAATAACATTTATGTTAAATTTTACAAGTGTCCTCTTTGCACTTACGAAACTCGTCGGAAACGTGATGTGATACGACACATAACTGTGGTTCATAAAAAGTCATCTCGCTATCTTGGGAAAATAACAGCCAGTTTAGAGATCAGAGCTATAAAAAAGCCTATTGATTTTGTTCTAAATAAAGTGGCAAAAAGAGGCCCTTCGAGGGATGAAGCAAAACATAGTGATTCAAAACATGATGGCACTTCTAATTCTCCTAGTAAAAAATATGAAGTAGCTGACGTCGGTATTGAAGTAAAAGTCACAAAAAACTTTTCTCTTCACAGATGCAATAAGTGTGGAAAAGCATTTGCCAAAAAGACTTACCTTGAACATCATAAGAAAACTCATAAGGCAAATGCTTCCAATTCACCTGAAGGAAACAAAACCAAAGGCCGAAGTACAAGATCTAAGGCTCTTGTCTGGTGAGGAACAGTTACAGAGTTTTGCTTTTTTCCCCCCATCGAACTTAAAAAAAAAAAAAATCATTTGACCATAATTTATAGCTGGTTCCATTTTAACATGTATTTGCTTCCATATATACCTTATGGCAGTGGGTACTGCAAGAGTGATGTGCATATTGCATTTACCTCTTCAGTGACCTTTATTCCAGTGTCTTGGGAACAAAAGTTTACTTCAGAACTTACCTTCCACAGGACAATGCAATGTAGTTATAGATAGATGGCACAGGGTCAGTGCTTTGCTTTTTAATGTTGTAAAATATATACATTTATTTTGACTTATGTTTACAATAGAAGTCTTCTGTTTAACTAACTTTGCACAGGTTTAATTTGATTCAGTGACTTAGTCTACTAATTAATGTAGGAAAGTTAAATATATTAGAATGCATTTATGAAGGTGAGAATTATAGGAAATAATCTTTTGAGGCACTGTAATTATTGTAAAAATTAATCTTTGACGGCTAAATAAAGTGCTGCACTCAGAAAAAAAAATCCCCAAATTGAATTTAGAATGATTAGCATTTATTATTTACTTAACCATAGTGCTTCCAGGCAAAGAGGGAAAGTTGGTAAACAAAAGTTTGGATATTTTTCCTTTTCCGTGGGAGTGCGTGTTAGTGAATGCTTTTTAGTTTTAATCCATAGAAAAAGATGATATTTAGGTTCATATTCTCTTTATTTTTCCCTTTCTGTTTAATAAACTTTTTGGTGATAATATTGACATAGTTCATTATTAAATAGGGATTTTTCTATCATTCTTTTTTTTTGGTGGTGGTGGTTATGCATTGCAAGAAAAGCAAAATCCCTGTTTGGAAGAAAGAAAAACATTACTTTTTAAAGAAGGTTTGGAACAAAAGTAGGTTTTAAAAATGCAGTGTACAATAAGGACTAGACTTCCTATACTTGTTTTTTACAAGTCTATATATTTTTATAGCTTACTTTCAATTACCTGTGTCCCTCATAATAAGGCATTTGATGTATTTAATAAGTATTAAATTAGCTTCAGATATTAAATTCAGGTTCTAAAGCAAAATACTTAGTTTGAGTGCTGAATAGGTTACATTGTGGTTTGATTATCACATTTAAAAAAAAAAATGTGTGCAAAACTTGAGGTGAAACCATCCTTTAGAAGTCATTTACTGTTGTGTAATTTTAAGACCAAAATTTTATTGGTAAACTCAAAAGTGTTCATTTATTCCCATTTCTCCTCAGATAACTTCAAGTGATGTACGAAAAGGTTTGGAGTTCATTTTTGTGGAAAGACTTTAAATTGGTGTTAGAACCACTTACGTCTTCACATGGTACTATGAGGAAAAAAACAAGAGAAAAACATTTTCATAAAATTTCGACTGTAATTCTGTTTTCTGACTAAAATAATAGCCATCTAACTACTTATTTCTAAGGCAATGCCTATTGCATCACTTTCAAGTAGCTATGACATTACATACCGTCATCACAGTCCATCAGCTAACCACCTTGACCTTGTGAATTTGGTCTACAGTTTCTACAAAAATGTTGCAAATTTTTGTTTTCCACATAATTTGTTGACTAAAGTGATCAACATCCTGAAAAAAACATTGGTTTTTAATTGACAGAGATTTTATATCTTAGTGATTTTAGTTTTGTTTCGCTGTATTTGGCAATTTTTTTTCTAGATTGTACAGATATGATTTTCTAGAAAGTGTATATTAGGAACAAAAGACAACTTAGTGTCAGCACATTATAAATATTTAGCCTACTAAATATTTGTAATCATTTTCACATCCATTTATTTCTAAATTGTTTTCTAGTACTTGAATGTTTGAAGTTTTTTTCTAAATTATATACTTCAGAAAGTTCCAGCTCATTTTCATGCATGGATCATCACATTTTTCATTTAAACATCTGAGGTTTTTATGAAAATTAAACATTCCCCTATTTAAATTTTATATAAAGCACTTTAATGATAGATGAAACCTTATTTTTCAGTTTCTATTTTTTTAAAGACCACACATTTACTAATGTTAATATGAAGGTAGTAAATAGCTTCCTGATGTTTTATGGATGCAGACAATCCATGCACAACCACTTCTATGATACTAGTTTATTTCTTTAAACATTGCTAAAAAGGAAGATGGGGGTGTAAACCCTGATTTTTTTTTCCCTCCCAAGAAAAATTTAAAATGACCACTTTAGCTATTATTTGATTTCTACTGTAAAATTTAGAGAATAATGAATTCTTGTCCATTTTTGTAATCAAGATTTTAGAAAAAACAGAAGTACATCTATCTTTATGAAATTTTGGGCAGGTTTTTGTGTATCAATATTTTGTACTTTTTAGGGAATATTTTATTTTTTAGTAATTTGTGTCAAATTATAATTTTAAAGGGTACAGCAGAAAATATACCATGTTTTTATATAGGTTTACACCTGTACTTAGAAGGGACCCTGTCCACCAATATACTTTTTGTATAAAATTTTAAAATGTTGGAGATTCACAAGGTCATAATAAAATGCTCTATAGCTAGAAAAACATTTACCCTCTTAGTGCTTTGCACTAAAATATACTGTGAAAGGAAATTAGAAAGACTGTAATTGTTGCTGGAAATGTTCTATATTGAATGTACATGCTCTTGTTGGAAAAATGTACTATATGTGATGGAAATAAACCAGACTCAAAGTTATTTCAGCTAAATATGCTTCAACAAGGGTGCATTGGTTGAAACTTAAATGTTTTGTTATCAAATTTGAACTTTCAGTGACTATGAACAGCTACTTGAATTATATCTTGATAGTTTTATTTTTAAGAAGTAATGATTTCTTTTTAATTTAAAAACAGATTACTTTTCCACAGATGGAAAATTTTTATTTGTAGGTTTAACTTTAATGGCTCAGAGCATAATATATTTAGTGTAGGTGGTATTTCATTTATAAACCTTCTTCATTAGTTGCACATTATTAAACCTGTATGTTTTCCCTTTTGCAAGGTGTTATCTTTTATGCATTCCTATACATAAGACATATTCCAAAATATTTTCCAGACTTAAGTAGCAATAATCAGTAAAAAGAATTCTTAAAAGGCTTAGAATAGCTCTTTGCTGTTTGCATCTTCTCATTTCTATGTTAGCCTTTTCCACTCTACTTTACTAGTTAAATAGTGTAGGGAAGGGAAAAAAATAGCCTGATGTTTCTGGTGGGCGTCAATTGCTGGAAGACTCTTAATCCACCTACCAGTTTCCATAGGACCATTCATAACATCTCTTCTCCTTAATAATTCACAACAGGACTTAAGGCGAAAATGAGGGTTCCAGGGACTGTTGAAAGATTTCATCTGGGTCATATAGAAAAAAACAGCACTGTCAGGTCTTGTCTGAATTAGAAAGGCCTAGAGAGATTGGGAACATTTTATAGTAACCATGTTAATGGATCATAACAGATACAACCGAGGTTATGCTGGTACCAGTTTAGAAAGGTAAAACAAACAATTAGTATTTATTCTTATTTCTTTCTGATAAAATTCATCCTCATTTTTTGTTATTATTTTGACTCTTGAGCTCTCTCATTTTAGAATTTCAGGTGTGAGGCTCTTGAGGACAAGAGGTCTAAGAAATTTCTGCCAGAATCTTTTCTGCACATAGATGTGTGAAGCAAATGTTTGTGTGACTGCTTTGTTTTAGTGAGGAGTAATTAAGCATAGAAAGCACCATGAGAAACTGCTTATTTTACATTAACATATGTCTCTGGCTGTAAATTATATCCACTGCTGTTACATCAATTAATACGTTTTCTGTAGAATTCATCTTATCTTCATAAGGAGGCTTTCCATTGCTAAGTGTTGTAGAAGAGAACAAATAATAACATGTATGTATAGTTTGTATTTCCTAAGTTTGAATAGTATAAATGAAAACTGGTTGAGGCCCAGCTAACAGTGGCAAAAGTTCATTAGAATTTGTAGATATCACTTGTTCAATCACTTTTGGTTCATGCATCTGTTTTCCCCTTCTCTAATACTTACTTGAAGAAAGAAAACTTTGAAAAAATATATAAATTACCCACCCTTAATTTTTAACTGAGTTTTGTACATATGAACCAAGTTTTTTGATTGAACACAAATTATTTTTTATTGCTGGAAAGTATATTCATTTTTTTTCAGAGAAATAAACTTGCTGTAAGCTGTTCTACTCAGTTTGCTTTAAAACTATGGATGCGGTAGCAGAAAGTATTATGGTTTTGCTGTGGCTTAAAGTTATGGGTAGAGAAGGAATTGTTTTCCTCTAGGTGCTAAGGCAAAGATGTATGGAAGTAAGCACAAATGGATATCAAGCACTATTGTAAACTTGCAAAAGATCTTTTTGAGTAGCATGACCACTGAGATGAGTTAGAAATGCTTCTAAAGTTTTAGAAATTATGTTTCTAGGCATCCTGTAGTGGCCCCAGGAAATAGTCTAGATCCTTACTTTGGAGTTATAGAAGTTATTTTTCCAATGGAGTCCATGGTCTGCCCGGATTATGATTTAGTTATGGCATTTAGCTGTTCTGAAGACAATAGGGTATATGCAGCATGATGTTGATTGTGCTCTTAGACAAAATCCTTCTGTACTCTATGCTGTTCTTAACCGTCTCTCTGACTTTAAGAGCCAAAAGGACTATGCATCAGCAATCTTATAAGCAGCTGTTAGTTTGGTTTCTTAGGCATTAGGCACATGGTAGAAATACAGAATAAAACCACATTTCACTTAAACTTACCTTATCTAGGCTTTTCCAGCTTTCCAAATTCATTTCTCCCCTCTCTCATAATTTGTTTATCCTTTTCCTTTGAGCTTCAGCTCATATCTTGTCCTGTTCTCTTCTGTTTAATTAAAAGAGATTCTTGGTACTGAGATAGCTAAAATGTTTTTTGGAAGGAAGGTAAGAGCATGGAAAGTACAGCTCAGTTCCTCTTGAATCTTTGTTGCTCTACACTGGATTTGGGAGGAGGCATATTTTTAAGCGCTTTTATGTATTTTAATACTATTCCACCAGAAGTAGGGGTGTAGGAGTGTTTAACAAAGACCATAGGTGTCTAGTTGGAAAAAAAGCTCAAAAGCTGGACGTTTTGCTGTTTGTGCCAATTCAGAATAATTAATTTACTTGATTATGTGTTTTTCATATCAGGGACTGTCTTGATAATTTCATTCAGTGCCTAGTATATTTTCATGTATACCAGGCACTTTAAATAAATGTTTGATGATGGTATTAAATAGTAGCCTTTCCATTTCAAAATTATGCTATCATATACTTTGAGATTTTGAGTCTTAATTTTTCATTATCCCAAAATTGATGGATCTTGTTTATTTTAGGACACACCACTAGTACTAAGATGTGAGTTTATGAAAATAAAGATAATTCTTAGTAATAGCTGGTAATAACACTATGGAGTGTTTGTTGTATGCCAAGTTATCTACTCTTTACATGCACAATGCCCCTAATCCTACCAAAAGTCCTACAAAGTAAGACCTGTTTCTTCATTATCCTTATTTAATAGAAAGAAAATTAAAGCTTAGAGAAGTTCAGTGATGTACTCAGGCTTACATATCTAGTAGGGGAGTTGGTCTTAAATCTCACAACAAAGTCTGTGCCCTTAGAACAGCCTTACATTTGCACATTTAACTGTTTGCAAAGAACATTCCGTATATTATTGGCAGCCTAATGTAATGATTGGGAACTAGATTAATTGGTGAAAATTTTGGATTCACAAATTCTTTTCATTGTGACTGAGGTTTACTCAGACATTCTGTGCCTTAGTGCTACCTCACCTATAAAACGGAGATAATATTCCCTATTTCAGGTTGGTTTTGAGGATAAGATGAAAAATATTTGTAAAGCACTTAGAATAGTACCTGGCATGTTACAGTAAATGTTAGATGTTATTATTATAAGTCACTGCATAGCATGTTCAAATGTGGAATTTTATTATTGCCTACTAAAATTTAGATGGAAAAATTTGTGCATTAGGACAGAGAACTTCATTGCACATCAGATTTTATCTGCTGCTTTTATGTTTCATTGGAATATTGAAGATGACCAACCATGTTACTTGCTACTAAATTCTCTCCTAGTCAGGCATTAATAATTTATCATTCTTAGAAGTTTGTCTTGAAAAGGCATTAGGAAATTTTAAGCTTTGCTTTTATGACTTCTTCCCAGAATAAACCATCTGTCTCAAAATTCTCATTAGTAACTATCACCCAGATATTTTTGGTCATGTGGAAAATATTGACATGGGTCAAATTTTAATTGAAAAATGTTGCTGAAATATTTCATAAGCAACTTGGAGATGTGTAGTACCTATTTGAAAGAAAGCATTCAATTATGGAAAGAATAGATTCCTCAGGAGTACCATTTAGCTGAGTCAGAAATTTCTTTGGTGAATGTGTCATGAAGAGATAAAAAGAAATGGCATTCATCAAAAGCGCTACCCATGGTAGTCATTAGTGGCAGTTCTCCGAATTTCAGCTAAGACCTTACTACTGTTAAATTATCTGCTGGGAGAGTTTCCCCATATACCCGACTGTTCTTGATCTTCCTTTTTAAAGGGTAAGGAGATGATTTTAGGATTTCTAGTCTTCTAGGACTAGTATAATTTGCATTACCAGAGAACTCTTGTCTCTAGGTTTAGATGAACCTTTATATTTTGAACTTCAGATCTGATGCTGGGGTTCCTACACCTGAATTGTGTGGCCTTTTATGTGGCTTTTTTTTTTTTTTTTTTGGTACTGGGAATTGAACGTAGGGGCACTAGACCACTAATCCACATCCCCAGCCCTATTTTGTATCTTGTTTAGAGACAGAGTCTCAATGAGGTGCTTAATGCCTCACTTTTGCTTTGAACTTGGGATCCTCCTGCCTCAGCCTCCTGAACCGGGCGTTGTGTCTTTTTAATGGTTTAAGTGTGTCAGGTGTCTGAAGCATATTCCTGACACACAAAACATTGTAATGTTTAAATGATAGAAAGATGCAGTTGGAAAAACAGCTAAAGCAAAATAAGCCCCCAACCCCAAATACCTCAAAATAAAACAAGTTTAAAAACTCACCACACTTTGAATGCTTGAATAATAGTAACTTGCATCCTGTTTGGGTGTCCTGCTATATATAATCTAGTAACACTTTGAATACAAGAGTATGTAATGATGTTATATCCAGATGAAAAATTTTTACATCAGAATGAACCTTAAGTGCATATAGTTTTTATTACAATTTGGCTTTTGAATATTGAACTTTAATCCCTCTGTTTGTGGAATTATACTGAAAATGAATTAGCTCTAAGAAATAGAACTGTATCTTTTAGTCAGACTTTCTTTCTTGGCTTTGCGAACATGTTTTTAAAAAAAACAATTCAGATTTCCTGAGTAAACAGATGCTTTTGGCATACCTGAACCTCAAAATACCTGCAAGTTGTGATAGATAGCTTTTATTTTGACTGGAAGGAAAAAGCAAGGACTACTTGTAAAGAAAAAATAGTGAAGCACTAGGAACACAATGTGAACAAGTGGTTGAATTACATGAAAAAAGACTTTTAGGGAAAGGATTTTTATGTAGTTTAATTTTTGACAGAGAAGTTGTGTAAGATAAAAGCTTCATATAGGAGAATCATCATGTTATTTTAATGCCTTTTGCTTACTAGATACATTGAGTCCCTTGAGATGCAACCCATACGGCATTTGTAGGTGTTGAATATTCGGAGCACTTTCCTTTGTATGGGCAGGTTTTGGGAAGCTAAGCCAAGCTAATGGACTCATAAAGATAAACGTGAACACATTTAGTGAAATTTATGAATAATTTTCAAGACTCAGATCCTTAAGTTATACTTTCTACAAAACATCTGCATGATTTTCCAATTTGTCCTTTCTTTGTCTGGCCATCTTGACTAACCAGCTCTTGTTTCAGTGTGATTCTAAAAAGAACCAATTCACTTATTTGCCACAAAATGCCAACACAAACA